GAGGTTAGGTTAGAGTATGCTAGTTAAGTTAGGCGAGAAATCTTGTATCAGGAGATCATAATGTGAGACGAGGTCATTAAGAGAGCTAGTGAGGTTAGGTTAGGGCGCTAGTTAGGTTAGGTCAGAAAGCTTGTATCAGAAGAATATAATGTGCGAGGAGATTGAAGGTTAGGATAAAATATTAGTGAGGTTAAGTTAGAGCGACAGTTAGGTTAGGTCAGAAATCTTGTATCACGAGAATATAATGTGAGAGGAGATTGAAGGTTAGGATGAAATATTAGTGAGGATAGGTTAGGTGAGAAATCTCTTTTGAAAAACGAATTTGACCCAACCGAACTATCACTCTAATCTAACCTCACTAATAAGTTATCTTAACCTTCAACCTCCTCGCACATTATATTCTCCTGATACAACATTTCTCAGCTAACCTAACTATCACTCTAACCTAACCTCACTAATATTTTATCCTAACCTTCATTCTCCTCGCACATTATATTCTCCTGATACAAGATTTCTGACAACCTAACAAGCACTCTAACCTAACCTCACTCATACTTTATACTAACTCTTGATCACCTCTTCTCACATTATGTTCTCCCGATGCAAGATTTCTCACCTAACGTAGCTAGCATACTCTAATAACCTCACGTGCGAGAACAGCAATTCCCATTAGTGGTTGAAGGGGGTGGTTGGACTACCAAAAGGTATTACAGGAAAAGGCTGCTTTCCTAGACTCTTCAAGGCTGCCATCTTGGTGGGAACCTGACGAGCTAGTGGCGGTCAAACGGAGCTTGGAGTTGCAATGCAATGTTTCATGGGCAAAAGTAGGCAGCTGGCAGGAAGAATGGAGTCGTAGGAAGTCTTGGATGGATGTCCGACGTCAAGAAATAGCACCAGAGAAAGAACGAAGAGGTACACTAACATCTATCTCAATTCTCAACAGGACATGGGGAGAACGCAGAGTACGTATAAAGAGGGGGACATTGTTTTGCTTTCCTGCAGTTGCTTTCCCGTAGATACCGCTACCGAATCCGATGATTTACTGTCCCCGCTCAGGGAAATTGCTGTGCGCTTTGATTTTATTTTAGCATTCACCAGTAGCCAGCCGCAACGTGCCCTTTAGTATACCTGGAGCTGCTGTTTACGCGGTTTTAGTTTACCCGAGGCTTCCGAGACCGATCCGCAAAACCGCTGCTACCGCCGACTTTCACAAGGCCGTACCCTTGGTGGTGTTATAATATTTATTCCGCTATTGCTTGTTTAATTTTTCGTGCCATTTGTGCCCCGACTTACTACCGGAATTCGTCGCAGTTAAGACCCATATATTAATAAATATGTACCGTTAACCGCTCAACCCCTAAATACCTTTGAAAGCGTTTAAAACGCTTGAAGAATCTTAAAGTCTTCTCCCAAAGACTAACAACCCCTCTCGAAATCTCTATTCTTAAAAAACCCGTAAAAGCTCCTTAAGGGTCGCAAAGGCTCATCAAGGTTCTACTTTCAAAATCTGGACCACTGAAAAAATGATAATAATAATATATCTTTATTGAGTTTATTACTCTGTTTTAAAAGACCATTAAGACCCTTGAAGACCCTTAAATACTATTTGAGACGCTTAAAAGCTCTGAAAGGCTCAGCTCTTAGGAAGAGAAAATCCTAAAGCGTATTTGAAAAGCCCTTAAACACTATTTGCGACCTCTAAAGACCTTTTAACATTCCCCAAGGCTCATAAAAGCTCGTCAAGGCGAGTCTATTAACACTATTTAAGCATATTATGAACTTTTAAAAGCCCTTTAACGAACGCTCTTAAAGACCCTTGGAGTCTCTTTAGAACCTTTGAAAACTTATAAAATTTCATAGATTGGTTATATTTTTGGAATCCTATACAAACTATTCGCGAATCATAAAAGCTTTCAAAGATGCACTTATAAACTCTTGAAGGTCGGAAAAGCCTCTTAAATGTTAACTACCCTACAAGAGATCTATCGACCAAGGGGTTTAAAACTCTTGAATACCCTTGAAGACCCTTAAATACTCTTTGAGACGCTTAAAAGCTCTGAAAGGCTCTGCTATTGGGAAGAGAAAATCCTAAAGCAGATTTGAAAAGCCCTTAAACACTATTTGCGACCTCTTTTACCTTTTAACATTCCCCAAGGCTCATAAAAGCTCCTCAAGGCTTGTCTAATAACACTATTTAAGCAAGCATAAATTATGGAACTTTTAAAAGCCCTTTAACGAACGCTCTTAAAGACCCTTGGAGTCTCTTAAGAACCTTCGAAAACTTATAAAGCTTCCTAGATTGGTTATATTTTTGGAATCCCTTAGAAACTATTCGCGAATCATAAAAGCTTTCCAAGATGCACTTATAAACCCCTGAAATTCGGAAAAGCCTCTTAAATGTTAACTACTCTACAACAGATCTATCGACTATCAAATGCTCTTATAGGGCTGTTAGAGGCTCCACAAGCTACTAGAAAGAAGACTATTGAACATTGTTAGTGTGATGAAAAAAAAACGATTTGTGGTAAGGCACCATCGTTCATTTTTCTCATAGTCCGCCTCTGGACGCTTTGGAGAACAGCTTAAAGGGATGTTTCTAGAAACTGCCGTCTAATAGAACTAATCAAAGGATAATAATTCCAAGAAGATTTTTCTACAAAAATAAATATTTCCAAAAAAGTGTCTAGGGCTTCTAAGATCAGATTGTCTCTAAACCATATCGAGTTTGCCATGGTGGCCTACGTGCCGATTCCGCCGTACACATGTTCTACCACATACTCTTAAAATTTTCTAAACTTAAAATTAATCTTCATTCTCTAGAAATTCTGTTGAAAACTCAGCTTAGAATCTAATTTGTGATCTTGTTTTAAACTCTTACAATTCGAAATGAAATGACAGGAGTTACTCACTTCCTGTACTGGTTCAACGTCTTTGGACTACAAAATTCGACGATATAATCACGTACCTTCGCCGAAACTAGTTAAATGAATCAGTGGAAGATACTTTTCGTTCGAACGGCGCCCAGCACATAATTACGCCGACTTCTTGGCCCAGTAAATTTAATCTGCACTAGCGGAAGTGACATCATTCAAATGGTCTTCAAATCTCAGACCGACTAAAGGTGACTCACTCCCTAATTACCTACTAAATTCGACAAAAGGACAGCGACGTTCCGCCTGGCAGCGCGCCGGGTTCGATACCTATCCATCAAACCAAGGAAATTGGGGAGGTGTGTGGGTCGAAGACAATGCGAAAGTTTTTGGTTACTTCTTAACGTTAATAGCGCAATAAAAAGTCCTTAATCAATAAAAAGCGCTGGAAGAGAGGAAAATATGAGAGATCAATGCTCCAAAGACCACCCCCTCGGCCACTCTTGGCGTGAAGCTTGGAAGTTTTAAGTTAATTAGTCTTCGTTATATCTGGCACGTTTTGGCGTCTGTACGCCCGTTGTTATCTCAATCAAGTGTAACGAACGGTTAAGATAGACGCTTAATTACGCTCCTCCTGCAATTTTTACACGTTGCCAATTGATTTCGTCTGGAGCGACTTGAGCTTGTACTAATTAAGAAAAAAAATTACGGATTACATGTCGTGAGCCGTGCTGGGAAGGTTAGGGTTCAGTATGCTTCTAATTACCTTGTACTCACCGGTGCGTTCAAGTTTATGAATGGGCTCGTATCTAATTATTTTAAATGCGTGTGAACTTCTTGAAAGGATGTAATCAATATTGCAGCGTTGAAAAGGAAATCTGGGTCGGTTTTGGGTTACTACATATCACGATGAATTTTCGAGCTCCACTGCCCAATATGCAACATGAACGGAAAACAAAAAAATCAAATTTTTGAATAAACGGAGATTTCATGCATTTTACTCTATTACCCACAGAAAGTGGCAAACAGAAGCAGTATCAAGACAATGAATTTTGCCGTTTCACTGACGAAGTTGGTGTATAAATAAAGATTTTGATCAACCTGAGAAAAAGAGAGTGAGAGATTCCAATATCCACCCTAAAGACTCCAAGTCCAAGCCTTAAAGAATATTTAAGGTTCCTCTAGAGTCTTCTAAAACACTGAAGTAACTTTAAGAGAGTCTCCACGAACCTTATAGAGGATTTTAGACTCCAAGAGGATTCAGAGATCATGAGCTTTCAAGAGCTATCAAGACCTAGGTTATAAGTTACAGCCCCTAGAATTTTTTTTCGAAATTGTTTTTTTGCCCATAACTTTTGATTGAGAGGTTTAATCGAAAAAGTACGAATCGTTTTGGATTCTAACACCCATATCCAAAAAGGTACGATGATCTCCAAGTCCTCCTAAAGCCTCTAAGCAGCATTTACATGTTTTTGAGAGTGCTTGAGATGCTCGAAAGGCTTTTAATAATCACTAAGGGTAATTAATAACCCAATCATGATAGGACGCTTTACCGATCTGTAAATGATTTGAATGAGCCGAGCCTTTAAGGGGTTAGATGCTTTACTAGAAAAGAATTTGAAGGTACTTAAGGGACATTAAAACGCGCTTTCATATATCTAAACTAAATAAAATCTATAACGGGTTTTATGAACCTTTAACGATGGCGAATAGCATTAAATTCAAAAATTTTTCCAAAGTCTCAAAAAATCTCCAAGGGACTTCGCCAAGGCTTTAAAGTCATTAAGATTCTCGCATGATTTCAACTTTCGAGAGCACTTAAGAGCCTTAAAGGGAAGGGCAAACTTTAAGTGCATTTAAGAAAACTTGAGCCCAGTCTAATGGGAATATCGAATATCTTTTAAGACTTGAAGAGTAGCCAAAAAGAAACAGAAGTCGAGAATATGTAACCCATACAAGACTTGCAAGAAGCACTATTAAAGCGTATTGGACATTTTCAAAGGCTCATACAGGGGCTCATATGAACCTTCAAGGCTCTTAAAGAGTCAATAATTAAAGGTCCATTCTTGGAACCTCTTCAAAACTCCTACCGATCCTCAAAAATTTGAAACGTTTTTAAACACTATATGTTTAATATCCGGGGGGATATTATTAAACTGCACTGAGTGGAGAACGGCCTCATTCCCCAAATTATGGCCTGGACGCTCAGATGCAGGTGAACTAAAGACGTTTTATTCAATAGTCCCTTTATTCTACTTTTTGTACAGTTTATATACAGAATGATTGTGCACATTGCAATTACCTACTCTACATATTTTGATGACAACGTTATTAATAGTATACAATTTCCTACAACCCATTTCCTAATTGCTCTACATAAAACCTACGATAATAATTTATTGTTACTCTTGCTTAACTGCTTACTTGCCAATTGTTGTAATGCAACTATTCTAGGTCGTATTTACGCGAAACTAAATTCTTGTTTGATGAATATTAAACATTCTGCCGACTCGCGACAGCTCCAACGGTGTTCTGCCCTTGTGTTTCTGGTTGAGCATATATTATTGGTTCCATCTTTATGTCTTCTGTTGTTTGCCGGGATGGTTGTTGTCGTCGTTTATACCAGATATAACCTCCTCCAATAGCCAATGATGCCGTAATGATTATTATGGTAGTTAGAGTGCTCGTCATCATTGAATGTGTTGTTACTTTCTGCCATGCAGTTTCCCTAATGTGATTTTGTAGTTCTTGCTCCTTATCCCTTAGCTGGTTCAACTGTTCTCCGGCCTTCACTACAGGTTCTTCCAGTGGATGTACGTGGTGTGGGTGCCTCTTGGTATGTTGAGTACTGATATTAACGTGTTTGATGTAACTGCCGAGTACCATTATAGATTTATCTCTTCTCGGGTTTAAGATGCTTTGCCTCGTTTGTAGTCGACAATCCTGGGATAGGTTGATGATTCCCGTATTGTTTAACATAACCTCCTGTCGACGTCCGTTGCATATGATTGCCACTCTTGTGGGTTGTTTGTTTTCCATGTAAAGTTGTTTCCATATGGTGCTGGTAATTGTATGTTGTTGAATGTTACAATTGCTGTTCTCCGTATGGTTGTAAATTTCCCTTATGATGCAGTTAGGGCTGTCTTCCATCTTTAAAGGAATGGGGGTGATCTTCATAATCACGTATTCCGTGATCTCTGCCACCACAAACACTCCGAACACGCGTATGTGAGTGTCATTCCGTTGCACCATTGTTCGTTTTATTGGATGTGCCAAAATTTCCATGCTACTGGGCAGCTGTTGTTGCGCTGTTAAGATTACCTTCCTGATGTGGGTTTCTGACAGTAAGTCGTAAAAGCTCCCTCGTTGGTAATGTACTTTTAGTACTTTGTGGTAGTGATTATAAATTTCACTAACCAGATTCATCGCTAATTGATATGTATTAAGTACTTGTATATTTAGCTTGTTTTCGTCGATTTGCCTATACCATTTTTCCATGTGATTTATCGCCTCTATTCCTTCATTTAATTTAAGGCGAAACCTTTCCAGCTGGTTTGTAATTCTCGTCTCCGTGTCATTGAATGTAGAAATGGCGGATAACATTATCTTTGTTTGATGCTCGGAATTTCGAATAACTTCTTGTTGATTCTTGTTCAGTGTGTCGATTTCTCTATACACCTCATCATTAACTCCAAAAACTGATGTTAAGATGTCTCCTAAGATTCCTCTTCTTTCACGTACACCTATCACGTGTTGTAGACCATCCTGTAGCCATCGTAGTTGGTCTTTTTGTTCATCCATGTGTTGTACCAATGTTTCACAGTGGGAGTTTTCTGTTAATGATGTGACGTTATTGCATAGTGCCTTAAACTTGTCTATGCTAACAGCTGCTTTTTCCATATCTTCAGTTATTCTGGTTTTACTATATTGGACCTCGATTCTAAATATTCCTCTCTCTATTCTTGCTTCTCCAATGTGTTCCACATATAGTCCTGGTTTAGGGTATGTTATGGTGTAATTTGCCCCTGTTGTTACCACCATTAGAAATATTGCGATCAGCAACGCCTTAACTCCTACCCTCTGTGATCTGGCAGTGCTCACTAGTGATGTTGATGTTTTGACGCGCTCTTCATTATCGCCTGTTTCAGAATTTAATGGTATTAATTGATGTATGCTGCGTTTTGATTTTTTCCCATCCGCTTTGGTGACGGTTACTACTCGTACAGTTCCATCCTCTGCTGGGTGTACTTCTTCGATCCTTGCTAACGGCCATTTACCAGGTGTTAAATGATCCTCTTTGATCAGAACCACATCTTTGACTTTGATATTATCCCTAGCGGTCTTCCATTTATACCGCTGTTGCAAGTTGTGTAGATACTCCGTTGACCAAGCTTGCCAAAATTCTCTCTTCATTTTTTGTAATAGTTTCCATCTACTGCCCAGATTGACATTGTTGTCTCCTGTTTCTTCAAACGGCTCTAATATAGGTTTTCCAATCAGAAAGTGCGCCGGTGTTAATAGCATGCTGTCATCTACTACTTCTCCGGTGTTAATTAATGGCCTCGAATTTAGACACGCCTCTATCTGTTGAGTTAACGTGGCTAATTCTTCGTATGTTAACGTCGCCTCGCCTATTACTCGTCTCAGGTGATATTTAAGTGACTTGACGCCACTCTCCCAGATTCCACCAATATGTGGACTTGCTGGTGGGATGAAATGCCATTGCGTTCCAATAGAAGTGGATTCTTCTTGAACATCCTTCCCTTGCACGATGGGTTGAACTTGTTCCAGAATTTTGCTGGCACCCACGAAATTTGTACCATTGTCACTGTATATGTGCTGACAACGTCCTCTCCTGGCCGTGAATCTTTTTAGTGCTGCAATGAATGCCTCTGTTGTCATATCACTAACAACCTCCAGGTGAATTGCTCGTGTTGCTACAAGTGGCCGCGATTTTGCCATTTCTTTTGGTTCCTCCTTGAATGGTATTCTGACGGTATATCTTCCATCTGGACCTCTGGTGGTGGTGGCAACATAATGGTCTTCACACCATTGATCTTCTTCGCTCTGTCGAATTGGGACATCTACCTCCTCCAGTTCCCAAAATTTGGCTAATTGTTTGTCCTCATTAATCACCGATACCATTCCTAGTACCGGTCTCCCCTTCTTTGCTGGATACGTGATTTGTCCAGATATAACCCATCCGAACTGCGTCTGTTGTCCAAGTAGCTCGCTTTCTGTCTTCTTGATCCCTTCCATTATTATTTTTGCATAATCGTGTGCTCCTAATAAAATGTCTATTGGACCTGGGATGTTTAGGGTTGGATCTGCCAGTACCACATTTTGCCAAGATTCCATTTCCATCTTGAATGATTGCCGTGGTAAATTTTCGGTAATTTTGGGTAGCACGATCAGCTCTGTTGTTAACATGTATTTACTTGAGTGCCGTGGCTGCAGATGAACCATAACTTGGGACCTTGCTGTCTTCGGTTCATTATTTCCAAGCCCCGAAACCATCGCAGTTATCTTGGTTCTTGGTAGCTTCAGTTCCTGGGCCGCTTGTTCGGTGATGAAGGATGCTTGTGACCCTGGATCCACCAAAACCCTCAGCACTTGCTGATCGCCCATTATATCCTGGACTCTCACCATTGCGGTTGCCAACAACACTTGGTGGTCTTGTCTTTTCGTCTCCATCTGTCCCGACCTTGTGACTGCGTGGGAGGCTGATTTCGCTGGTCTTGTAGCCTGTGTTGATGTTCCGTTGTATGGGGTGTGCAGCATGGTATGGTGTGGTCTGCTGCATGTTGCACAGTTAATTGTGGAATAACACTTGTATTGTTGATGATGTTTCATGCACCGGATGCACAGCTGCTGTTCCCTAACGATCTTCATCTTTTGTGGTGCTGCAAGCGTCTGAAATTTCGGGCACCTTTCCATGGAATGATGTTGTTTGCAGTAGTAACATGTAATTGCGCTGGTGGGTTGCCATCTTGACTTCGATGTTGATTGCTCTTGGAATTGTTTTGGTCTTTGTTCTGATGCCTCCAAGGACTGGAACCGCAACTTCAAGAACTCCATCACTTCTTCTAATTTGGGTATTTGACTTGGTTGCTTCAGTGACTGCTCGAACAGCTTGTTGGTTTCAACATCCCATTTGTCTGATACAATTTTTATTACAATTGTATCCCATGATGCTGTGTCTGTCCCCAAATTATTTATTGCTTCGAGACACCCACGGATTGTGTCATGAAGCCGTTTCAGCTGTTCCGCGTCCTCTTTCTCGACTGCCGGAGCACCCATCATCTTGCCCAGTAAGTTTGATACCATCAGCCTCACGTTGTGATATCGATTCTTCAATATGTCCCAAGCCGTGGCGTAGTTCTGCTCGGTTATCGGTAGATGTTGTATTAATTTGGCAGCTTCTCCATCCAAATGGCCTTTCAGGTAATGCATCTTCTCTGTATCCGAGAGTTCTTCATTGGAATGTATTAGCTTCTGAAACAGATCATGAAACGGAGTCCAGTTTTCATACCCAGTTCGGAATGTCGGGATCCTTATTTTAGGCAGCTTGATTTTTGACGTCCGTGTAGTGTTGTCCTCACACTCGTTTTTTAGGTGGCTTTGTATTCTGTAGTATTCTTTTTGTGCTTCGCCAAACTTCTTCAAGGTAAAATATTCGTGAGCAAATCTTACCTCATTGACTTGTATTTCTACTTCGTTGTCGCTTATCACCTCCCATCTCCTTTGCATGTCGTTATATAACGCTTTGCATATCTTTCCCATCTCCCGTTCCTTTGTAATCTGAGCTGCTGTTGTGTAGAATTGTTCAATGCGAATCTCCTGTCTTTTGACCCTCATCAATTGTTCGTCCATTTTTCCATCTGTTTCAGTGTTCTGTAACCCATTCAAGTATGCCTTTGCAGTGTTGTATACTGCCTCAATTTGGTCCATGAAATTTGTTGCATAATAATCGTGTTCTGAAATTTTTAATTTGATTATCTCCGTGTGATTGTTCCTTGCCTCCCGATGGTAATCTTCTAATTTCGCCTGCCGTTCTTCTATGTATTTTGCAGTCTTCCGGGCTGCTGTATCCTTTTTTGAGTTGGACAGCAGTTTGGATATGTCATTTCCAATCTCCTGCTGCCGTACCACCAATTTATTCATTTCCTCCATTTTGGATTCCTTTTGATTATTTTTCCGCTATTTACCCTTTGCCACGGGGTGGTTTATTTTCTTTGTTCCTTCTAAAAATTTTCGGTCACTCACCCGTTAATCCTTTTTCGTGTGGTGTTTATTTTTCGTTTTGTTTCCTTTGACGCCTTCCTTAGCGCCTATTACCAATTGGTTTACCACTTGCCTTGTTGGGTTGGTGGTTATTTCCTTTTTCCGTTATGCAGTGCTGTCCTGAGCACTCGGTTCCTCCTAAAATTTTTCAGTCACTCACCCGTTATTCCCTTTTTCGGATGGTGCTAATTCCTTAGTTCCTTTTTCAGACGTCTTTTTCCTTATTTTGACGTCTTATCCGGACCGTCCATCCATAGGTCGCTGGTTCAAATCCGGCTCGAAGGACCATGTTTAATATCCGGGGGGATATTATTAAACTGCACTGAGTGGAGAACGGCCTCATTCCCCAAATTATGGCCTGGACGCTCAGATGCAGGTGAACTAAAGACGTTTTATTCAATAGTCCCTTTTTATTCTACTTTTTGTACAGTTTATATACAGAATGATTGTGCACATTGCAATTACCTACTCTACATATTTTGATGACAACGTTATTAATAGTATACAATTTCCTACAACCCATTTCCTAATTGCTCTACATAAAACCTACGATAATAATTTATTGTTACTCTTGCTTAACTGCTTACTTGCCAATTGTTGTAATGCAACTATTCTAGGTCGTATTTACGCGAAACTAAATTCTTGTTTGATGAATATTAAACAGTTATTCTGGTGTAAACCTACCGTAAAACCCTACTTTCTGCGTGTTAAGTATACCGACAATATTTGCATCCCCTTTATTTTCTTTCCAGCGTACATAGTGAAAACCAACCACCAATTGTACCTAATTTGTGATGATGAAAGGTCAAAAATTCCAAAAACACGTAAGTCTGGATAGTTAAGGGGAAGGTTAATAGAAGATTTACCATAGTTTTAGCTTGCACCATCGCACCCCCCGGTTATCTCAATTTTAAAATTATAATATAATATGCACCCCCACCCACATATTATTTTAAAGGCCCTATAATTTTCTTTATTTCTGTTTATGATTGTATCGAAGGGAAGTTTGGGAAGTATGTTTTTGTGCACTCCTAATCTTTACCACAAATCGTTTTTTGAAATTTTTGTTTACACGTTTCAAAGTTTTTGTGCGCATTTGGATTTAAATACAATCATAGGTAGGTACTGGTTTTTCTGGAATTCTTTTTGAATCGTCCAGGACACGAAGATTTTTAATAGTGAAACGCTATAGGACATTCGTGAACTGTGTGGATATCTTCCCATGATTTTTATGGAACCTTCTTGAACATTTTTAATTACTGGCCTGCCTCCGTCATGGAAACTAATTCCTGACAGAAAGTAGGCATGAAAATGAAGGTTTCAGGACGATTTTGGGTAAAGATTTAAACCTGTTGATTAACCTTAAAATACCGAGATGGCTACTCAATTCTACTGATGCTCTTTACAATACTTGGAGCATTCACTTATTCTGCAATGGAAGTGCTTACGCCTATTCTGATGTGATTTTTTTGAGATCTGGAGCCCATTCTGAAGTCAATATTCAATTGGTTCAAGCATCTGTACAATTAATAATAATAATAGTGTATATTTACGCCTAGGGCAATTTACAATTTAAGGTACTTACTATAATAATAAATAATCGTACCTAACAACTGCGTCTAACTTAAAATTATTTTTACTCTTCAAAGCTTTTAAAATTGAACGTGTTACTTTACTTCACTACTTGTAATTCTATTTTGAAAATATGAAAATGATTTTGGAATCCGTTGAAAATATAGTGCTTTCTGCTATATTCGGTTAGGTCTGCCGCTCCCCCTTAGACCAGTAGGAATCTAAATGGTATTATATGCCTAAGAAACTTAAGATGTACAAACTATAGGATTGTTTTTCACCAAATTGTTTCAGCACTGCAATTTTGACGATTTTCACTACATTTAGTAGGTATCCACTTTATGTGAGAACGTACGTGAAAAAAACGAAATCCAAAACGATTGTAATGTAATCAACATTATTGCTTGATAGTCGATAGGCTCGGCGTTATAAATTTTATAGGGCCATCAACAGTTCGCGTATGCTTATAGTAATTGTACTAAAGCCCGTTGATATAATACAGCAGGACCAGAGCATTAGAATATCGTGAGAATTTTTCAGTTACTTTGATTTTCCCAAATTGGAAACGAATTTTATTAACCAATTACGATTCGTTAATTACCCTCATATACTTCTATTGCGATTATAATAAAATCACGGAGGCCCAATACGTAAACAAACTACCTACAGTGTGTCCGATTTTTCTCCACCTATGGCCATAGTTTCTTCTGCTGCAATATAATTTCTAAAACCAATAAACTTTCGAACGGCAGCGAGAATTGCACATCTTTTACTAAGGTATGTGGTGATTAGAGGTTTGGTACACTCGCGAAACGTTCATCTATTAGTCTATCTTTTTGTTATGCCCTGAAAGAGTTTGAATGTTCAAGGGAAAGAATTCGTTTTCAACTAACTCCAACTTTAGGGGTGTGTCTCGAAGGTATGTCGAGAATTTCTTACCCTTTATTGCCAATGTGGTTGGCTTAGAGAGATCACTTTGTGTATATTGCATTTTATTGATTTCGAAATGACTTACAAATCAAAACGGCCCCTTTATTAAGGGCATTAATCAGAGTTCAGGGATGCGCAAATCTGGTCAACTGCAGAAACGTAAAACTCCACTTTTTCAAATGGACAGCCTTATATTCTTTTTAAATATTTGAATTTATGAACTCAAAAGAAGTAGTTTCATAAAATGAATCCTATACTCGTGTTAAAAAAACCGAAGAAATTAAAGATTTTATAAATCAACCATTACTAATTATCTATTAAGGGCTATCCAAAAATAAATAAGTTAAAAAACCTTGTCGAAGCAATATACACGACTTTTATCGACACTGTATGGCTAACCTTATTTTCAGGTTACAAGACTTCTCATAGTATAAGATTGTTGTTTAATATATTTCTCTCTAATTTTGTGAGCGAAGGCTTTGTTTTTTGTCGGAGATGAAAACTTTTATAGGCACCGTCGATTAGTGGTAGTGTGGGACTCCCATACTGGTATGGATTACTCACTAAATCCATTATTCTCACTCATATTGGTTCATACATAAAATTCCACAAGATCGGCCCAAGTACCGATCCTTGTGGTACACTCGCATGCGAAATGAAATCGTATTCATGACTAGGCCCTAGTTTGTTATACACGGTGTCCATTTTTCGAGTGCCACTATGGGGATCTCGGTTATCTTAAGAGATAGAAACTTGGTTAAATTAGGGCAATGTTGCGAATTTTCGTGCTGAATAATAATCTAAAAAGAAATATCTTCAATAGTTTTGAAAATATGGCAAAAAATCGAAAATTTCTGATTTTCATTTTTAACTTTTTCATGGTAAACTATTGTACTAGACATTTCTAATTAACACATTATTCAGACACTTTTTAATGGTGATTTCGAATATGGCATCCCGTTTTTAATGGGCGCCGTTTTGGATTTTAACATTTTGAGATTAGATTTTTTTTTTCTCTTTCCGACGATATATCACACATGGTGGTTCAGTATCACATTTTTTCTAAAAATACGATTTTCATTTTATGCGGAAGAGTGCTATGCAAAAACAAAACGTTCTTTTGTTGTGAACAAAATGTTGACCTATTTCAAGCAGTGTCATTTACGTTTGTGCTAGTTTTATTGCTAAAATATTATTTATTTTTATGTATTTTGTTCTAATTTTAATTATAATTTTCTTTCAAAACGAAGGTTCAATTCTGTTCATATGAAAATCGAAAACACATCTAGTTCCCTGATACCAACGCTGCAACCGGACATATGCATCAAACTGTCAAACTTTTGTTCACAATAAAAGAACGTTTTGTTTTTCCAAAGCACTCTTCCCAAAAAATTAAAAATTGTATTTTAGGAAAAATGTGATACTGAACCACCATGTGTGATATATCGTCGTAAAGAGAAAACAAGTTAAAAAGTAATCGTAAACGATTTACATAAAGCGCATTTCCACTTGCATTCATTTCCCATTTGTAAGATGCAACTTCTGTTAAAATCGTAAAAATCCCGCCACAAATATGAAAGATAGCGTTGCACATGGGCAATCCATTGTTGACGTGCTACTTCAATTTCAGTTTATGAGAAGAATTTCATTTCAATGTTTTCTAAATAAGAAAGTTGGAACTGCGCATGCGCAAACCTAAATTTTAAAACTAATGTTAGATTTTCCTTTGTTCCAAGCGCCTAAGTATCAAATTTCACTTAAATGGTGCCATAGATAAAAAGTTGGCACTGCGCATGCGCAAAAGAAAATTTTGAGACTGGCGCTCGATGATCCTTTATTCCAAGTGCCTATGTATCAAATTTCATTTAAATTCTACCATAAATAAAATAGTTGGCACTGCGCATGCGCAAAACCAAATTTTGAAATTGGCGTTTGATTTTCCTTTATCCCAAGTGCCTATGTATCAAATTTCGTTTAAATTCTTCCATAAATAAAATAGTTGGCACTGCGCATGCGCAAAACCAAATTTTGAAATTGGCGTTTGATTTTGCTTTATCCCAAGTGCCTATGTATCAAATTTCGTTTAAATTCTTCCATAAATAAAAAAGTTGGCACTGCGCATGCGCAAAACCAAATTTTGAAATTGGCGTTTGATTTTCCTTTATTCCAAGTGCCTATGTATCAAATTTCTTCCATAAATAAAAAAGTTGGCACTGCGCATGCGCAAAACCAAATTTTGAAATTGGCGTTTGATTTTCCTTTATCCCAAGTGCCTATGTATCAAATTTCGTTTAAATTCTTCCATAAATAAAAAAGTTGGCACTGCGCATCCGCAAAACCAAATTTTGAAATTGGCGTTTGATTTTCCTTTATTCCAAGTGCCTATGTATCAAATTTCATTCAAATACTTTTATAAGTAAAAAAAGTTTGCAATTCGGTTTATAAATGGTCGAGATGCGAAAAGGGCACTGTGAATTTTGAATCGATTCGATTCAACTTTTGGCATTGCGTATAATATGGCTAAAGCTATGCCCATATTGAATTTCATGCAATTCAGTTCATAACTAACGGAGATGTAAAAGCGATCGAACATTTCTAAACAAAGTTATTGTTCACACGGACAGATAGATGGACAGACAGACAAAAGAACAGACGGACAGATCAGCATGCAGACGACAGATAGCAATGCAAAATTATAAACGATCTCTAGGATCGTTAATAAACGGCAAAAGTGTAAAATTATGGAACAT